GCAACAGATTTTGGAAGATCAATGTAGTTTGCGGGTTTTCAAGAGCAAAAATAAAATAAATAAATATGTTGGTGAAATACCAACTATTATTTGAAACAAGTATGGAATATGCTGAAATCAAGATCAACTTGCACTTTTTGGGTTAAGAGATTTGAAAGTTCAAACATTGTTAGCAAATGAATATACAGCATGTATATCACTTCAATGATATAAGAAGTCAACTTTACAACAAATATTTGACCTGCAAATTAAGTGTAAAAAAATTTCAATGCTTAACGAAGATTGGTAAATCCTTTTTACTAACTAGATTATATAGCAAAATTTAGTAATTCAGTTTCTACATATTTTATATAGTATATACCCATCTGGTTATGCATTTCAACACAGAGAATTAGTAGCTTGGCATTCTATATTTTTAGCTTGTAGGTGCACAAATATTACACCATATTTAGAAGAAAAATCTGATGTTGAATTTCAGACTTGTGCAGTGGATTTTGGAGCAGATCAACAGATTTTACAAAATTTATATCAATGGGAATTACTTCAAATACAAGATTATTTATTTAATATTACAACAAGTTGTCAATTCTGGGATAGTTTTAACTACGTATTAGGTATTAGTATTAAAGATGCTAAAGAAAAAACTTGAATGCTTTCTATTATTGTGCTTGATTTCAATTATCAGATTTTTCAAAAAGAGCTAGGTGTAAGGCATCAACTTTTACTTTATAATAAGATTTATTAATATAATACAAATTTATTATTAAATATAGGTAATTTTAAGAACTATATATAAAGCAAAAAAACATACATGTCTCTATAGTGCTGATGCTCCACCCCTAGAAACTTCCCCAAAAAAAAATACATAGCCAAATTCAAAGAAAAACAGTTCAAACTATTTTTTTTTGATAAGGATAATATTATAATAAACTTTTATAAGATGGATTCCAAAACTAACTTGCCTATTCTTTACTTGTATAATAATAAGACTGCACTTTAAAAAAAATTTTAAAAAATCTTTTCAAATAGAATAAAAAAAACATCTTTTATAGAATGACTTGAAAATTGTATATATCTAAAATACTGGGACGATTTGGGGGTCTTTGTGGAACTTGCAATGAGTATAGTTTTGGATCATTTTAAAATTTAGTTAAAATTGCACAAAACATATTTTCTGACAGAATGGAATTGGTATTAATATTTTTTTTTTTTTTTTTAGAACACGCTTTTTTTTGATACAATAATTTTATATTAGACTTCATAGCTTGATTTTGAAATTTATTCTTAAAGCTTTAATCATTGTTTTGTTAATTGGTTTATAGATATTTTAACATGCTTTCTTCTCTTGTAATATATTCTTTTTTAATTAGAATGCAATTTTTTTTTTAATTTGTTTGTTTTTTTTTTAATTGAGTTTTTTTTTGATTTTTTTTTTTTTTTTAAAAAAAAATGAAAATGCAGTGGAACATTTTTTATTTAAAAAATACTAAATCCTTTTTTTTTTATATATAGTTTTTTTTTTAGAAAAAAAAATAGAGAATTTTTTTTTTTAAATAAGAAGTTTTTTTTTTCTTTTTTGAATGTTTTTTTTTTCCTTTTTAAATAAGTTTTTTTTTTCTTTTTTTGAATAAGTTTTTTTTTAAAAAAAAAATATTAGAATGAAATACTTTCACGAATTGAGCACCTTCGCCATCATTTTAAGCGAAAGTTTAAACAAGAATTAGCAATATCACCTGATGGAACAATTTTGCATGATTCTTGTATCGACTATTGTCTTCCATATACATTTGGAGAATGTTTCATATTAGATATTTTAAGTGTAAACAATTTTATGAATTTTTTGATGAGTTAGAAAACTGTGTAATTAATGAATATATAGTGCAACTGCATGAAGTTAAAGAATGACTAAAACATTATCTAGGTTACCAAGCATAAAAAGTCTATCTTAACACTCAATTTAAGATGACTTTAGCACAATTGAATTCTGATGGTGCTTTAATAGTAGCTGACTATAGGATGCGAATTCTTTCAAGATCTGCTTGTGAGACCAAAAAAGATTTTTTTGACAAAAGAGGTTGAACTTTGGATACCATTCTAGTTTTTAGAAAAATAAAAAATTAGAACATGTTAGATATTCAGACATTTGACCATTGGTCTTCTGATACAAAGTAGGATGCATAGTTCACTGCTTCTTTATTTGAAGCAGTATTTGATTCAATGAAAAAAAAGCCCAAATGGATAACAATAATCTCAAATAATGGTGCATATATCACAATTTGGAGTTAATAGCAATTATTTCTTATTGGCATACTTGGTATTCTATTAAAGTTAGAAGATGGCTATTTTTAAAGCTAGGAGAAGCCAAAATGACTATTGATTCTCACCATGCAAATGTGAATCTATTATTATTATTATTTTTAATAAGCATTTTTTTTATAAATACTTACTAACATTTTAACACTTTTAATATCACATAAAATTAGTCATAGTATTAAACAGTATGTTTGAGTTGAATTTGATATAGTCAAAGGCAAAGATATAGTAAAAGCAGTGAGGGGACTAGCCGGAACTTTATTAGCACAAATTACAATAGATCGTGATGATAGAAGTAGTGAATCTGAAACTGAGAATATGAGGTTAAAAAAAAAAAAAAGAAAATTCAAATAGAAAACCAAGGATTAAAACAATACTAGGAATTTCAAAGTTTTATTGTTGAGAATGGCCAATAGAAGGACCTCTAGCCAGATTTATTCACACTAGGAGTTATCATATATGGGCCCATAGGAGAATTTTCTCAAGCTAAAATTGCCAAATTATCTAACATAGCTATTGCATACCCAAAGCTGGTAATTTTGAAATATACAAAACCAAAATCTAATTAGACCATCCCAATCATAACAATTCAAAGTAAGTAAATATAAATATCTTGATAGAAAATAATAAAATTTAATATTTATAAATTTTTTAGTTCTTACTAATAAAAAAAGTGACTAAGATTAAAGGTAATTATAACTGTAATTTATTTAATTACAATATATTATTAAATGGTATTTCTTGTAAACAGATATCAATTCTAATAGTGAAGACAATAATCAAGTTTCAGAAATAGACATTGAAGATAGGAATTAGTTCTTATAGAGTTTTTAATAAGAAGCTATTAAATATTTTTTTGAAACAGACTTTACTTATCTTAATGAGAATCGTTATTAAGGAGGCCACAGGATAGAAGTTGATAATGGTATGAATTCATTGCTCTAGTGTTTCAAGCTAGTCAAAAAATGAATTTTTTATTGTATAAGCAAAAAAATTTATTAATTCATATATAACTTATTCAGAAAATAGTAGTGAAGATGAACAGAAAGCATTTATTTGTTTTCAAAAATTAGCTGAAATAGGAAATTTCAGTAGAACTGGAGTTAAAATAGATAAACAAAAGGCCTCTATTTATTTTCAAAAAATTTGCTAAAATGGTAAATTCCAGTAGAACTGGAGATTCAATGGATAAACAAAAGACATCTATTTATTTTTAAGAATTTGCTAAAATGATAAATGTTAATGAAATTGAAATTGGAATTAAGATAGAAAACTTTAAAAATAGGTTTGCAAAATTTTATCTAATTTATTTTGAGATTAATTTATTCTTAACTAGTTGAGTTTCATCTAGATATATTGAAGAAGAATTTCAATTGTCTTAAGATTGGGCATTTCTAGCAAATGCCAAATTTAGAAAAAAGAGCACAGGTAAAAAAATTAAAGCAAAGGTTATTAGATTACTAAAACAATTTTTTTTGAATAGAATATAAATCCAAAAGACAAAATGACAGCTCAAGAAATACATATGGAACTCAAAGAGTTCACACAATCTGGAGAAATTAATAATGATAACATCTCTTAAATATCTACTATTCATAATTGGATTGGAAGATATTCAAGAGAATTTAATCATGAAGTGATAATCATTGCACTTGAAATATTTAATGCTGGTAGTTCTTCCTTAAATGACAAATATTAGTATATATTTATATTTTATTTTACTATTAAATACCATGTTTTAACTTTATTTTATATTAAAATAAATTAATTTTTACTGCAAACCAATATCTAATCATAAGTTGAAAATAATGAACTTAATGTTTTCTTTTATTATTAAAAACTGCTAAGATAGAGAGTTTTATTAGAATGTTTAAAGTTGGTTATTGTTAAAAAATAGAATTGATGTTAAAAAAATAAACAGATTTTATTTGTCATTATAAATAAAATAAATAAGAGATTGCTCAGATTTATCAGAATTCTCATTTCATATATCTCATGTTCATTAATCTTTTTTTTTTTTTTTTGTTATTAAAGTGAGGCCTTGCTCATATCTTTATTAGGTAATTTATATAAGTAATTACATAAAAACTATATAAAAACTAAATTTGTATAATAACAAGTATTTATAAATTACATGCAAGAATGGGAGCTCAGACTAAAAGCTAAAGCTAATTATCTGCAACCTAAACCTACTAGAGTAGTCAAGACTCACCTAGGTTTTAATAGTTAGTATGTGATTTGCTGAATTGTATCCATGCTGCTGATCATTGATTGAATTTGTATTGTGCCTGCCCTTCAGGAGGGCAGTTATTGTTATCATGCTGTTGGTCTGGTAGGCCACACAGACAGCTGTAAGTGAATCTTTGAGGTTTTTTCCGTTGACTTTGTACTTGTTTATGTATGGTCTGTTTAGTTTGATTAGGTGTTTGTATATTTTGGTGCTTTTTCTATTTTGCAAGTCTTTTACAGTATAGCTTCCAGATTTGCTCATGGGTCTCTGTAGATATGTATAGAAGTATCTGAATTATAATATCTGCTGCCTCTTTGTGTTGTATACCAACTGCTTGTAGTGCTTGTAGCAAGTAGGATGAAATAAGTCCTTTTAAAGAGGTGGGTAGTGCATGTGTTTGGTGATTAAATGGGAGAATGTTGTTAAAGGAGGGATGGGATTTGATAAGGTTTATTGTTGCTCTCTGCTGTGTTAAAGTCTAGTTACTAAGGTGCTTGGTAACTATTTTCGAAATTGAGAGGTAAACGATTTGGCTAATCGTTTGTGGATTGTGGCAGATAAGCCAGTGCGTAGCTAAGTCTGGGGCATTACATGCAAAGCAGGTATTGGCTGGAAATATTTTAGGTATAATACTGTGGAAGTGGTAATAGGTTGGCAGTTCGTTTAGTAAGTTTTTAACTCTAAATGCTTTTATCTGGTTTAGTTTGGGGGATATAATATTAGTTGTGGCTTTTGAATTATCATTGAAATAGAGCCAAGTTGAGCCCTAGTTAATTGTTTAGATATGACTTTTCTATTCAGCATTGCGTTTTTGTGAGGACCACTTTGCTATTGTATATGCCTTGCCAGTATTTTTGATTAGTTGTCTAGTAGGCTTTTCTATAGGTTGTTCTTTCTACTGAATAATAAAGTTGGGGTTGTATATGTTAGTATGGTTAAATTGAAGGATATGGGTTGTTGGTTCTTGATGCTTCTTAGCTAGAGAGTCGGCCAAGTTGTTGAACGAGTTATTAGCATGTGCCTGAACTTTATGAAGGAAAAGCTAGATATTGAAGGCCTTGACGGCATTAAGGAGAGTATGCCATATAGGCCAGTAGTCGAATTTAAAATACTTAGAGGATTTGGTTGAGGTGCATAAAAGTTTATCATATTTGAATATAATTGACTGAGAATCGGTATATATATTAACTCTGGCATTGTGAGGTATTGTGAAGATGGCAGATAAGATTGCAATAAGCTTGGCCTTGTATGAGGAGGGCCAGTTGAGGATTTTGGCTGAAAATTGGTTGATGATTTGGTCATTATCTAGTTGCACCCAATCTATTCCCATTGAGCAATTACTAGTACCTATGTTTGATACTGAGCTATCTGTATAAAAAGTGAATATTTGTGTGCTACTGTTAGTAAGAGAGTGCTGTAGTAGTTTTGAGCAGGCTTTACTAGTGTGAAAGAGGGCTGGAGCTAGGGAGTCTGTAATGTTAATGTTGGGTAGTGGTGGAATAGTAATAGGGTGTTTGATTGCTGTGAAGTATATTAAGTCAATATAGTTTGTGTTTAGTTTAACCTGCTTGTTGGTTGTTTTTCTTCCTAGGAATTGTGTTGATATAGTATTGGATACTTCAATAGTATAGTATTTGGTTAGCCGATTAGAGTTGAGGTCACAGCCAGGGCATGGAGTACATGTTATAGGTGGTAAAGGGTAAGGTAAGTACTGTTGTATATTTATATCATGTTGCCAATGTGTAATAGAGGTAGTATTAGTTTGTTTGAGCTTTTTCCTAACTTGGCTGATAATGATTTCATTATGCTGGTATGTGAGTATTCATGGTTTTAGTTTTTTGGAAATAGTATTTGGTTGGTAGGCAAATGAGTTTGTATCTAATGGTTGATATTGCAAGTAAATTGTGCGAAGCTGTAAGTTGCTAATAATTGTGTCTTCTAGGAAACAGAACCAGTATGGCTTTTTCCCTTTAGGGAGGTGTCAGAGTCTGGAAGAGATATGTTGCCATTCTAACAAGTAGACATTATCTGCTGAGCTAAGCTGTTCTAGATAGAGAATATGCTTATTGCGAAGCTGCTATTTAAATACTTTGTATTTGCTACTTTTGGCTAATATAGGTTTTAGTGGTATGTTGCTGTCTTGTATAGTCTGTGGCCAAGCCATACTTGAATTGGTTGTTATACTTATTTCAGCCTGTTTGAGTAGCATAATTATTTTGTAAGTAGTAGTATCTCTATTAGGTCCCTCAATTGTGGCTGAGGGTGTTGTAGTATGCTAGTGGTTGACCAGAGGTTGTTCTGGAGTTGTTGCAGCCTAATGTGGGTAGTGGTGCCTAGTGTTGAGCTATTATTGATTCTAAGTAGAAAGTTGTTAGTGTGGTACTGGAGCTGTATATCCCAAATATTGTGAATATGGTAGATATTGTGATTAAGTATTGTGCTATTAGGAATTGACTGGGCTAGGTGGGCTTTGTGCTTGGCAATAGTAAGATATGTGCCTAGTATTTTAAGACATGTTGTTCGCAGAATAACAATGTTGTGAATTCTGTATTCTACTGTTGGAATTATGACCGTATTGATAATGTAAGTTATTTGCTTGTCTGTTATCTTTTTGGTGCTAGCTGTATATACTAGGTTGAGAGCTTCCTCT